CGAGGAGTGGATCGACGACTACTTTCGTCGATTTTCTCTTCTTCTTTATCCGACGTTGGAGGTGTACGCCGTACACCTTCCGTTGCCGCGGCTATCTTTCGTCTCTTTAGTCTATAGGACACAACGCAACAGCAGTATAGATTGAGCCACCTCATAAGCTACCAGCGATCTAACGTACCTCAGAGCAGCCTTACTTATGGCTTTGCCCCCAGCTGCTGCTAGGCGTTTCTGCTTGCGCTTCGCTTCGTCGCTGGCAGCTTGCTTCTTCTCTTCAAATTGAGACTTCAACTGCCAGTAAGCTTCAATTAGGTTGCTCAGCTCCGTGAGCTCTTCAGTAACTCCACTTGCCCAGCGACTGGCTGCTGACTCTTGCTTGTGCTTCTTGATCAAAGCAGCAACTTTGTCTTGGCATGCTCTTAGCGAGAATGATGTCGTATCGACAGCATTGAGTTCGTCAGCAACAGCTTGTCACTCTTCGTCTCCTTTGCCATGAGGAGTAGCGAACGATTCGCGCCGGGTAACGATTAGCATCAGTTTGGTCAGATCGCAAAGCTGGCAACGAGACCGCTTGTTCTTGTCAACAACGCGAAAGGGAACGCCTTCGAGGGCGGCTTCCATGCGGTGTCCTGCCGACATCTCCGTCGTTCAGTGCGGAATGGTTTTTGACACGATCTTAGTACCCGTTGCCTTGTCAAGCCTGATATTCGGAGTTAAGCGAAGATGTACGCGGGCAAAAATGCTCTGGCAAAATTACAGTTTATAATTTACCGTAATGGATGTTCGCCGCTTGCTCTCAGAATTTTGTAAAATACGTGAGCAAAAAGTGTCTATTGTTATAAAACACTTTTCCTGGAAAAAAGCTCTTGCCTTGACTGCTCACAGCTTGTGGCCAGAGGTTAAAAATACCGGCGCTCTTTTTGGTGTTACTGCCACCAGTAGTATTTTATGTTTTTTTAGCTACTGTTTTACACAGTAGGTCCAATCCGACCTTCTGGGTTACTGTGTAGAAGTACTATAGTACCGGCGGAAGTACTGCCCTTCGACCTCTTAAGAGACTTGCACATTGTCGATTGAGACGACGGAGCTTCTGCCGTGCGGCTCCATCCGCTTGATTGCAGAGCTGTTCTGCTTGAGCAGGACCTGCATCTCATCACGTTCATTATCAGTGCTTGTACGCCGCGAGCTCATTATCAAGCCACCCGTCGGGAACACGCGTTCTTGGAACGAGTTTGAGGACACGCGGTCAAGCCAAACGCGAGCAAGAGCGGCAACCGAAGGGAAGTGCTTGGCACTGACCTTCTTGAACCACTGGCAAACATCAACATGCTTGAAGAGGCCCTGTAGACTCCAGCGCACAGTGCCGTTGCGGTGTACCAGCATCACCTCCGCAGTCATGCCCTTGTCGTCAGCCTGCTGTACAGCTACTTGAACCCAGGATACGTTGTGGCTCAGCCACCTGTCCAGCACCTCATCTGCTTCCTGATGAAGAGAGCTTAGGGACCGCCGGCCTGCATCCTTCAACGTTAGCGGCGCTCCACATAGCATGTCATCGTCGTCCATTGACGGCACGAGGTCCAGGTTTGGAGAAATCTCTCCAGCGCTCTCGTGTACCTCATGCGCTGCAGCATACATAGCTTGAAAGACAGCGCTGTGTGATCGGCGAAGCAGCATCCGCCCTTCCTCGATCACACCTTTTTCTTCCGTCATGCCGGCGTCGCCGGTGCCCGGGCTATCCGTACTGCGCTGCACCACTGAATCAATAAAGTCCTTGGTTCTTGGATCCAAGAACAACACCACGATTGACTCGGCGGAGACATTAGCCAAGCGCTTCTGGACTTGGGCCTTGATACGGCCAAGGCAAGTTGCCGCACTAGCACAGAGGGAGGTCGCATCGATTATCGTCCTGGGCACGTCCTGGCAGTAGTTCTAGGCGTGCGTAGCGCGTCCACATCATAGGGGCGGAACTGGTTTGCGTTGAGCCGATCGCACGCTAGTCGCATAAGAACCAGCAACTCGGAGGAAATCTGGTCTTCTCTCTGGACCTCGATTCGTGCTAAGTCTGCCAGCATGTGTGTTACCGCCTCGCACTGGACAATCGTCTGCCAGTTCTCTTTCGATAACCTCGCAAATACCGTGGGATCATCGTAGGCCTCGTAGCGTTGGAAGTAGGCTTTGAGTGCGGGGTAGTTCAGGATACTCTTCTGAAACAGCGTCACCGTCGAGGCCATGCGCGTATCACGGTCCACCATCGCGCTGAGCTCGGGCAAACCATAGTGTTGCTGGACGCGTAAGAGCCTCTCCACACGTTGCGGGGTCTTGAAGTAGTTGTTGAGATCACGGGTTTTCTTCACCAGATTTGCGCCTTGGGGAAATGGACCTCCTGGCGTACACCTGCCGCTGCTTCTGTAGCAAATTTGTCACCGGGTTGACCGCGTGGTAGGTCTTTACGTTTTCCCTCATGCCCAGGCCGTACACGAGACACAGATTTAACACGTGCATCGAGCAGTCCACTGGTACTGCATCTTCGTATAGTTTCGACAGTTTACGAGCTGCTGGGGCCGTATCCGACATGACGAAGTGAGCCATGCAGCCGATGTCAACGTCGTACAGCACCACAATTCGACTCGAGATCTTCTTTTGCACAACACCGGAATCGTGAGATTCGTTGAAGACTGTCACTAGCAACGCCACGTCCAGTCCTTGTCGATGAACGACATCGACGTGCCGATAACATCCTTCATTCCGGTACCCGCAGCCCACATGTCGTGCATCAGGTTCAGGAACGGCCTCTTGTACACGGATGTGTACTCCATCTCCAATAGGCGCTTCGTCA